AAAAATGAAAATTATTAAATTTAAAAAAAAAAAAAAAAAAAGAAAGGAAAAATAATTGGAATGATAGAAAGCAACGAAATTCCGCATAACTTGTTACGAGCGAATCGTTGCTCACGTAAAATGAATAACGTTGGAAGTTGGCGGGAAAGATTGGTAAAAAACCCGCTGAATATTCTCGAGGAGTTCTTGACGAGTGGAGAGCTCTCCTGAGAATTTTGTACCGCGGATCGTCATAGTAGACGACGTCTGGAAGGGCAGAGAGGGACAAATGGTCCTCGAATCTCTGAATCACCAACCCCTCCGAGTCGGCCCATTATCGTTGAATGAACTGACACTTACCTTTCTTCTCGGCGAAAAAGTCCGCGTTGACGCGCGTCACACAGAACAAGGCGAATATCAGCGACTGCAATCTGAAATTAAACGTTTCCTAAAGTTAGTCCCTTGCTTTGTTCCATTAAATATCTAATGAATACTTGTTAGAATTGTAGAATTCGTCTTCGTTTTTCTTCTTTTCTATTTCTCTCTTTCTTTTTATATAATTATTCAAATTTAATATTATGTTCCATTATATGAGTAAGATTAGTAAAATATTTAGAAGAATTTGGAATTTTTTAAAAATATTAATATTTTCTTCATAATATTACTCATTTTGTTCCAATACACTATTTTTGATAATATTTTATTCGAAAGTTATTAATTGTTTAGTTATAAATTAAATAATACTTTGATCACAACCCTTTCTTATTTCTATCCATAGATATAAACCATATATTTAAAAAAATCAATTTATAAATAATAACTAATTAAATTCAAGCACATCTCAAGATTAAAAATGGAAATCTTAGTGAAATAATAACGAAGACATTTTAAATAAATCTATACGAATAATATTATAAAATTTTATCAAAGATTGAATAAAATGTTAATGATAGAAATAAATTTCAAAAATGCTATTATTTTCCAAAAGAGTCATCAAAAAATGAAACAAAGCTAAAATCCGGAATAATTTTCCAGAGGTACAAAGACCTATTTAAACGTTTCCTGCAATATTCTTCATATCATTCCAACATCCAGAGAATCACCTATTATTCGGTACACTCTATTTAGATGCAACAATGAGCCGAGCATCGAGTTAAGTAGCCGGGTAAAAACAGATCGTGGGATAAAAAACCGGAATGATAGCGATTAAAATGGCTAAATAGGGGTTGTAACGTTTTCACGGGGAAGAGATACGGGATCTCGTGAAAGAAAGGCGCGTGATTAGCGCAAAAACGATTCGAAACATTATCGTTGTACAGAGAAAAACAATAAGGTCCATCTCTTGAGACTTTAAGGGCAGGGCATGGCTGGTAGGTCGGCGGAAAATTGGGTTCGCTGAAACCTGTTTCGTTAATGCGATCTCTTGGAGAAAAAGCAAGCCTTCAAAAGGTGTTGAAAATTTGCTCCAGGAAAATTGCTACTGTATACAACGAACTTATTTAGCGTAAGTAGCCTCGGTGAAAAGGAAATCTAA